TCGGAAGAGGGTTGAACAATATTGGATGTCTTGTAATGTCCTTAGGCAGACCTGTGTTAAGAGTTTCTTGTAAAAATCGATTATTCTAGGGATAGGGGGATCTTTCAGCCTTCTTAAAATGATTCCCTAACCTTCAATCTGCTTTTTTTCCTTGCAGACCTTTCAGCAGCCCAGAGAAAATTTGCCCATTCTCTGAGAGACTTTAAATTTGAGTTCATTGGTGATGCAGAGACAGATGATGAAAGATACATAGGTAGGTAAGAAGTGACTATAAATGGCTATATTTTGCCATGCCATCCTGCAATGTGATTGAACTTTTTTTCTGGTTTTGTATTACAGATGCATCGCTTCATGAGTTTTCCAACTTTTTAAAAAACCTGGAAGAACAAAGAGAAATTTTGGTGAGTTGCAATAAATATTTTAAAAAGCTGTACGTATAGCAAAGAGTAAGATGAAAGTCAACTAAAGTTGCTTACTGCGTTGTTAACCACCAGGATGTTGGTACCAATAACTTAACCGTGAACGTGCTCATTGTGCAGCATCTGATTCTGTAGTGTAGAGTTCCGGACAGCAGCTAGTTCTCACTGAAGGAGAAAGCTGTTATGACAAAGACAGATAACTATGAGTTGGTTTAAAACGGTAAACTTAATGTGTGTAAAAAAATTAATCACAGAATCGCTAAGGTTGGAAAGGACCTTAAAGATCATTGAGTCCAAGCGTTAACCCAACACCACCATGTCCCCTAAACGATGTCCCAAAGTGCCACATCCACATCTTTTTTGAATACTTCCAGCGATGGTGACTCCACCACCTCCCTGGGCAGCCTGTTCCAATGCTTGACCACTCTCTCCATCAAGAAATTTTTCCTTGTATCTAGTCTAAACCTCTCCTGGCGCAATTGGAGGCCACTTCTTCTTGTCCTATCGCTAGTTACTTGGGAGAAGAGACCAACACCCACCTCACCACAACCCCCTTTCAGGTAGGTGTAGAGAGCGAGGAGGTCTCCCCTCAGCCTCCTCTTCTCCAGACTGAACAACCCCAGTTCCCTCAGCCGCTCCCCATAAGACTTGTGCTCCAGACCCCTCACCAGCTTTGTTGCCCTTCAAAGAGACACGCTTGAGCACCTCAACATCCTTCTTGTAGTGAGGGGCCCAAAACTGAACACAGGATTCGAGATGTGGCCTCACCGGTGCCGAGTACAGGGGCACGATCACTTCCCTACTCCTGCTGGCCTCTTTCTGATACAGGTCAGGATGCTGTTGGCCTTCTTGGCCACTTGGGCATGCTGCTGGCTCATACTCAGCTGGCTGTTGACCAACACCCTCAGGTCCTTTTTCGCTGAGCAGCTCTCCAGCCACTACTCCCCAAGCCTGTAGCGTTGCATGGGGTTGTTCTGCACTTGGGTCACGACCTGGCACTTGGATTTATTAAAGCTCATACAGTTGACCTTGGCCCATCAATCCAGCCTGTCCAGATCCCTCTGCAGAGCCCTCCTACCCTCCAGTAGATCAACACTCCCACCCAACTTGGTGTCATCTGCAAACTTACTGAGGGAGCACTCGATCCCCTCATCCAGGTAATCAATAAAGATATTGAACAAGACCGGCCCCAGAACCGAGCCGTGGGGAACACCGCTTGTGACTGGCCACCAGCTGGATTTAACTCCATTCACCACCACTCTCTGAGCTTGGCCATCCAGCCAGTTCTTT